TTTTTGCCCAGGCTGGAGTGAAGTGGCGTGTTCTCAGCTCACTGCAACCTCCAACTCCCAGGTTCAAGCGATTCTCCTGCCTCAGCCTCCAGAGTAGCTGGGATTACAGGCATGCACCACCACGCCCAGCTGTTTTTTTTTCTTTTCTTTTCTTTTTTTTGTTTTTTTGTATTTTTCGTAGAGACGGGGTTTCTCCATGTTGGCCAGGCTGGTCTTGAACTCCCGACCTCAGGTGATCCACCCACCTTGGCCTCCCAAAGTGCTGGGATTACAGGTGTGAGCCACAGCCTGGGTTTTCATACTTTTCATAAGTGGAATTACTCAGTGTGTAGTGTTTTGTGACTAGTTTCTTTTGCTCACCTGTGTCATTCTGAAATTTGTTCATGCCCTGTAGAATTATAGATTGTTCATGCTCCGTGGTGTGAGCGTACAAACAACTGGCGATTGGGTGGTTTCCAGTTTGGGGCTGTTATGGGTATTGCTGCTATGAACACTGAGGACATGTCTTCTGGTGAACAAATGTTTTGGATTTCTATTTCTAGGCAAGGAATGTCTGATGCATACACTTTGCTTTATTAGATATTGCCAAATTGTTCTCCAGAGTTGGTTATACCAGTTTATACTCCCATGGATGAGGTTCTGGTGGTTCCCAACATTTAAGCCAAACACTGTTGATGTCCTGGGGGAACCTGCTAGCAGGCAGATACTAGTACTGGAGATTAGAGAGATTACCTAGTGTAGAATGTTACACATAACGTGAGCCCTGGGTAGAGCTAGTCTTCCCCATTCTTTAAACAGGAATGTAATTTCTGATGCTGTCCAGGTTCCCAAGACCCTTAGTCAGGACTGTATAGTTTGGAGGGTGGTAGAACCTCAAAACGCTGGGGAGGCGGGAGGAAGGACCTAGAGGCTCCTCCCTGCTGGAAACTGCTAATGGTTAGTGCTCATGTAGAAGGGGAACAGATCGATTTATGCACTCTGAGCTGTTAAAAGCTTCCTAGATGGTTGGGCATGGTGGCTGACGCCTGTAATCCCAGCACTTTGGGATGCTGAGGCGGGAGGATCACCTGAGGTCGAGAGTTCGAGACCAGGCTGACCAACATGGCAAAACCCCATTTCTACTAAAAATACAAAAATTAGCCAAGCATGGTGTTGGGTGCCTATAATCCCAGCTACTCAAGAGGCTGAGGCAGAAGAATCACTTGAACCTGGGAGACAGAGGTTGCAGTGAGCCCAGATCGCGCCATTTGCACTCCAGCCTGGGCAACAAGAGTGAAACTCTGTCTCAAAACAAAACAAAACAAAACAAACAAAAAAAAAACAAACCAAAACACTTGCTAGATTACCTCCCAAGGATGTTTGCATTCAACAGAGGATAATGCCACAGCTAAAGACCTGGAGACATCTGAAGCAGGCTGATGGGGCAGATTTTTGGGTTAGGAGGATCTGCAGATGCCCCTAGAATTATACCAGTGGTCCTTTGTGAAAGGCCAGCCTGGTCTACCAATATTCCTGTTATTTCTCCTTGCAGAAGGGACAGGATGTTTCTCTAGAAATCAAACACTGGGCCGGGCGCAGTGGCTCATGCCTGTGATCCCAGCACTTTGAGAGGCCGAGGCGGGTGGACCATGAGGTCAGGAGATCGAGACCATCCTGGCTAACACGGTGAAACCCCGTCTCTACTAAAAATACAAAAAATTAGCCGGGCGTGGTGGCGGGCGCCTGTAGTCCCAGCTACTCGGAAGGCTGAGGCAGGAGAATGGCGTGAACCTGGGAGGCGGAGCTTGCAGTGAGCCGAGATCGCACCAGTGCACTCCAGCCTGGGCAACAGAGCGAGACTGCGCCTCAAAATAAATAAATAAATAAATAAATAAATAAATAAATAAATAAATAAATAAAACACTGAAGGAGGAAAGGAGAAACACTGAGTTCAGAGCAGGTCAACTTTTGTCAGGTATGATATGTAGCTGTGGCATATTCTGACATTTCTCACATTTTCTTAGGAATCACTTTTGGAGCAGTATACTCCTAACACTGTTAGAAACAGTATAGTTTCTAACACCAGTAGAAAAAGTCATCATCCTCTTAAAAAATATTTCCTGGCCATTCACAGTGGCTCATGCCTGTAATCCCAACACCTCGGGAGGCCAAGGCGAGGTCAGGAGATTGAGACCATCCTGGCCAACATGGTGAAACCCCATCTCTACTAAAATACAAAAAATTAGCTGGGTGTGGTGACATGTGCCTATAGTCCCAGCTACTCAGGAGGCTGAGACAGGGGAATCACTTGAACCTGGGAGGTGAAGGTTGCAGTGAGCTGAGATCGCACCACTGCACTCCAGCCTGGCGACAGAGCAAGACTCCATCTCCAAAAAAAAAAAGGATTTCCCATTATCTGTGACTAACCTCCAAAACTGAATCACACCTATAATCCCAGCATATCCACCTCTAGTGTGGGTACAGGTACTTTTCTATTTTGTTTGTATTGTTCAAGTCTCTGTCACTAGACTGCTTCCTTTCGGAGGAGAATCAAGATTTCTCTTTTCATTGGGGAGAGCAGAATTGGGCTTAAATGCTGACTTGATACACCCCTGGCCTAAGAAAACCCTTTCTTGGCCTCTTCACAGCAAAGACTCAAAGAAGCTTCTCCCACAAGCTGGAAAGCTGATGGCTTCAACTACATCTTTGCCAAGGGGAGGGGTGGGAACAAACTTTAGGGCATAGTAGCCAGGCCATGGCTAACACATGAGAACCATCTAGAGCTTTCCAGGATTTTTTTTTTTTTGAAATGGAGTTTCGCTCTGTCGCCCAGGCTGGGGTGCAGTGGCGCTATCTCAGCTCACTGCAATCTCCTCCTCCCGGGTTCACGCCATTCTCCTGCCTCAGCCTCTCGAGTAGCTGGGACTACAGGCACCCACCACCACCCCTAGCTAATTTTTTGTATTTTTAGTAGAGACGAGGTTTCACTGTGTTAGCCAGTATGGTCTCGATCTCCGGACCTCGTGACCCGCCCGCCTCAGCCTCCCAAAGTGCTGGGATTACAGGCGTGAGTCACTGCGCCAGGCTGGAGTGCAGTGGTTTGATCTTGGCTCACTGCAACCACACCTCCTGGGTTCAAGCGATTCTCCTGCCTCAGCCTCCTGAGAAGCTGGGATTACAGGTGCCCTCCACCATGCCTGGCTAATTTTTTTTTTTTTTTCCCGTAGAGATGGGGTTTCACCATCTTGGCCAGGCTGGTCTCGAACTCCTGACCTCGTGATCTACCCGCCTCAGCCTCCCAAAGTGCTGAGATTACAGGAGTAAGCCACCGCGCCCGTCTGCTTTCCAGGATTTTATGAGAGCCCAGACCCTTCCCCAGCCCTGAAACTCTAATTAGAGCTCAGCTAAGGTAAACTTTTTTTTTTTTTTTGAGACAGAGTCTCACTGTGTCGCCCAGGCTGGAGTGCAGTGGCACAATCTCGGCTCACTGCAACCTCCACCTCCCAGGTTCCAGCGATTCTCCTGCCTCAGTCTCCCAGGTAGCTGGGTTTACAGGCACGCGCCACCACGCCTGGCTTATTTTGGTATTTTTAGTAGAGACGGGGTTTTGCCATGTTGGCCAGGCTGGTCTCGAACTCCTGAGCTCAGGTGATCTGCCCGCCTGTGCCTCCCAACGTGCTGGGATTACAGGCGTAAGGGAAACTTTTATATATAAGGTAGGCAGCATAGAGAGGAAGAAATCTAGACTCAGAGAAGTTAAGTAACTCACTCAAGGTCACACAGACTAGGTCCAGACTATTCCAAAATGTATGCTTTCCAAACACCAGGCCTCGAAGTCTCCAAAATCAGCACATTTATTTACCAAACAGTCACGGAGTGCCTACAGTGTGCCAGGCACTGGATACAAGATAGTGGACAAAACAGAGGGTCTCCTCCCCTGGTGGAGTTTACTTACCAGGCGGAAAACAGCCATAGAGGCAGGCAGGGGAAGGAGGCCCAACGCATTCTAATCTGCGCTGCGGGTTTGAGCTCTCCAGCTCTCACATGGGAGTGAGTCATTCATATGGGCACTGCCCCCCACCCGAAATGGAAATGGGCTTTTGGGCAGGGTCAGGGTAAACGGAGTTAGTAGAGGGAAGGACTGCTTCTCTTTCTGAAGTAGGGGGGCGTCCCTCAAATGGGAAAAACTTCCTAGTGTTAAAAACCATTCTCAAACAAGCCCCTGGTCCCTGGGTAAGGAGGTGGGCGTGGAGGGAGAAACTGAGGTGTGCGGTGAACCCCTCCGGCAGCGAGCACTCCAGCGAGCTGGAGGCACAGCGGAGGGGCAGCGTTGGACAAGGGGGAGCTCAGCCCGCAAGACACCCCCTGAGGACAAGGGGAAGTCGGTCCGCACGACACCCACCTGCGCCGCGGGAGCCCGCGCGGGGCCCCGCCCCCTCCCCCGGCGGCGCGGGCACTGAATGGGCAGCTCCGGCTCCAGCCGTCCCCACCATCCCCGCCACCCCTCCCCCGGCCTCGGGCTCCCAGTGCCGCTGCCGTCACAGGGCGGGGAGCTGCGGGGCTGAGAAGCAAACAAGCCCGGAGCGCCGGCCGGAGCCCCCGGGCCGAGGGGCGCTGCCCTCCCCCATCCGAGAAAAGGGAGGGAGGCGCAGCCCGTCCAGGACCCTCCCCTCCCGGCGCACGTTCGGCCCGGGTGCCCGCGCCGGGGGATGGGCGCGAACCTTTCTGCCCCCTGGGCCGCGCGGGCCAGGACACGAGCCCCCCGGGGTCCTTGCCTCGACTTTACCTCCTTCTTCACGTTCCACAGCAGTTTCTCTTTGACTGCGTCCTCTGCGCTGCCCATGGTGTGGCAGGAGGCGGCGCCGAGCGGCCCTCGGAGCCCCCGCGCCCCCGCCGCCTCCGCGACTCTCGGCTCAGCGCCCCACGCGCAAGGCGGAGCCCCCGCCCACCGCGCTCCCGGCCCGCCGCCGCCGCCGCCGCAGCCACTGCCCGGTGCTCGGCTCCGCAGCCATCTTCCGAGCCCCGCACAGACGTCAGGCGGCAGGCCCGGCCCCTTCCCACAGCCGGAGGGGGGTTGCGCACAGCGACGGGGGATCGGGGCGGGGAGAGGCCGTGCGCGCCTAGGGGCGGCAGACCCGGGCGCGCGCCACGGGGGTCGCTGTCATGGAAACGCACCCGCTCCCGCTGGAGGGCGCGAAGCCGCATTGTGAGCGCCGGCCCTGGGGCCCGCGGCCCGGCGGCTGAGAGCAAGGCTCGGTCCCGCTCAATGTCCCCTGACTTCTCCCTGCTCCCTCTCCCGACGGGACGGAAAGGGCCGGGGCTCGGGCACGGGATCCCCTGCGGTCCGAGCCTGGCCACGGCGAAGCTGGTGCAGCCTGGCCCCGTGACCCCTCTGAATCCCCGTCCGGCAGTCGCCGTGCCGTCGCCAAGTTTCTGGGAAGATTAGTGGGAGCGCAGCCGCCGAAGCCCGAGGGCCTGAGGGTCGCAGCCAGTCCCCCTTGCCGGGTCGCCACGTCCCACAGGGTCCTTCCCGGCCGCTCCGTGGGAGGCGGGGCGCGGGTTGGAGTAACAGGGACGGGCGTGAGCTGGTACGGAACCAGGCAAGGTGAGAGAAGTGTCTTCCACGCGATTCCCAAGCCTCGCTAGGGAATTGAGGGAGAAGAAAGGTTGCTCAGAGTGATAAAGAACACGCCATTGCAAATGGAAGAGCAACATGCCCGAATCTAGGTGACAGGAAGGGCTTAGGCCTTTTCGGCACGAATGGAGCCTTCCAGTCAACATGTTTCTATGTGATGCAGCTTTATGGCGCAAAAAAAATGACAATGCAAGGGGCACAAACAGCCCTGCTGGACCAATAGCCCAAGCCTCGAGAGTCTATATCGGGCGCCTTCAAGCCTCCAAACCACACACTGCAGCGTGGGAAAACTTCCCATCGTGGCTTGGCGGAGCGACTAACGCGGCGCGCTCTGAGGTGGCTGGAAAAGACCGTCGCGAGAGGGCGCAGGGAGTCCCGCCCCACTGAGAGCCCGCCCCCTTGGAGGGGACAGGAAGCGTTCGCCCTGGCCCGGAAGCAGTGTTGACTGTACACGCGCGCTGCGGCATGGCGGCTCACCGCCCCGGTCCGCTCAAGCAGCAGAATAAAGCTCATAAAGGCGGGCGGCATCGGGGTCGGGGATCTGCACAGCGGGACGGCAAGGGTAAGAAGATAGCGTAGAAGGAATAAGGGCTATTTGGCCATTATTAACTCTTTTTCCCCATGCCCAGACTGAGCTTTCTGTCTCCCGTCTGGGCCCCACGCGAAAGGCCCTTTCTAAGGTGGGCGGAGAGGAGTCCCTTTTCTTGACCTTGTTATGGGGTCGATCACACCAGCCCCTTCTAATAATGCCCTTCAGGCCGTCTAGCACTGAAAACCCTAAGCAAGAAGGTGAGAAAAGAACTCAGCAGAGTCGACCAGAGGCATCGCGCCAGCCAGCTCCGAAAGCAGAAGAAGGAGGCGGTGAGAGGAGCGGGATTTGGGAGAGTGCGGCTTCTCTTCTGTTCTAGGTGGCTATTGCCTGGAACTGGAAAATGAGACCGGGTGGGGGTCCAGGGATAGAGCATAGCCCTAGAGCACGTGTCTAGCCTGCAGGTCTAGCATTTTTTGCTTTCGTCAGAATTCCTGCCACCCCGCCGGCATACCTGTGGTCTTCTACCAGAGAGATGCTGGTTGTGGGTAGAGGGGGCATCTGTGGGAGTGGAAATTCAATGCTGGCGTGAAGTACTGAGACGCTGAGATGTTCTCGGATATCTTTCTATTTTCAGGTTCTGGCAGAGAAGAGACAGCTGGGTGGCAAGGATGGCCCTCCGCATCAGGTACTGGTGGTGCCCCTGCACAGCAGAATTTCCCTGCCAGAGGCCATGCAGCTGCTTCAGGATAGGGACACTGGAACAGTACACTTGAATGAATTGGGAAACACCCAGAGCTTTATGCTGCTATGCCCCCGCTTGAAACATCGGTGGTTTTTCACGTCAGCAAGGCCAGGTTAGAGTATACACCAATATTTTCTATTATGTTTGAGTAGTGGTAATTTTTTTTTTTTTAGCATAATATGCTGGTGCCAGCCACCTCTTCTTACTGTGTCTTCTGTCTCCAGGGGACCTGCACACTGTGTTAGACATGGCTAAAGTAGCTGATACCATCCTGTTCCTTCTTGATCCACTAGAAGGCTGGGACAGCACCGGCGATTACTGTCTTTCCTGCCTCTTTGCTCAGGGCCTTCCCACCTATAGTAAGTGAGTTAGCATTTATTGTGCACCTATAATTTGTCAGGCACTATGCCTGGCATTTGATGTAGGAGTACAACTGATGGATCATATTCAACTGATGGTGGGATGTATACATATGGATTAAACTTGATCCATTGTTTACAGATTATCACTCAGTGTGTCTCTTTGTTTTTGGCTCTCCTTTGCCCAGAGAAACAAGGATATGAAGTTTGATTTCACTGTGAAATTTTTTCAGGGTAGTTAAGTGTTGGGTTTCCCAGTGATCTCTGGGCTTGCAACTGAGCTATTAGGTTGTTTGTGAACTGCGGAGGGATTTTTATGTAATGAAGCAATAGGTCATGAAGCGTTTTCTCTTTTGCTTACAGCACTAGCTGTCCAGGGGATTTCTGGCCTCCCACTGAAGAAACAAATAGATGCCAGGAAGAAGCTAAGTAAAGCAGTGGAGAAGCGCTTTCCGCATGACAAATTCCTCTTGTTAGACACTCAACAGGAGGCAGGGATGCTGCTTAGGCAGTTGGCTAACCAGAAGCAACAGCATCTTGCGTTTCGAGATCGGCGGGCCTACCTGTTTGCCCATGCTGTTGATTTTGTTCCTAGTGAAGAGAATAACTTGGTGGGCACCTTGAAAATTTCAGGCTATGTTCGAGGGCAGACTGTGAATGTCAATAGGTTGCTGCATATCGTTGGACATGGCGATTTCCAGATGAAACAGATAGATGCCCCTGGAGACCCTTTCCCTTTAAATCCTAGAAGAATTAAGCCCCAAAAGGACCCAGACATGGCAATGGAGGTAAGACTGATATTCTTAATTCATGTTCATGTGAAAGTTGGCACAGGAAGGAAACTTAAATTCGGAGAAGGTAGTCTGTTCACTTAGGTGAATGAGGAGACTGCTAGTCTGAAGTAAGGCAATAGTCAGTTATAAATATGTTGATAAATCACATTTATCCAGCACTTTCTGGGTACTCTGCACTGCGACTGGCTCTGAGTTTATAGAACACACTCAAGACGTGGTTGCTTTCCTCAAGGGACTTAATTGGGCTGGAACAAAATAGCGTCTGTGAAATAAAGATTGAGATAGCATATGGTTAAGGTGTGGACCAGCAGTGGAAGTTGAGAAAGTAGACTAGCAAGCTTCACAGAAGAGATCAGACTTGAGCAAGGTGTTGAGAAGGATGAATGTGATTTATGAGTTGAAGAAGGATAAAGGAATATTCTAGAAGATAGAGACAGAATGAACCTAGGCACAGTGGTGGATCAAAGGGTTTATTTGAACCTTGAAAAAATCAGCTTGATGGCAGTGAGGTATGTAATAAATGGGTAGGAGTGGGAGCAGATTAAGAAAGACCTCAAGAGCCAAGCAGAGACTTAAAATACCCTGGAAATTAGAAAATGGCCATTTGAAAAGTTTTGACAAGTTTTAGCATTCTGTTGCATTCATCTTCTACATGAGGACTGATATTTCTGGGTCTTTCTGGTTACTATATTAGATTTAGGAGATTTTTGGTTCATGGTTGGCTATCACCTGCTTTTGGTTTTCAGATTTGTGCTACGGATACTGTAGATGATATGGAAGAAGGCCTTAAGGTCCTAATGAGGGCAGACCCTGATAGACAGGAATCCTTGCAAGCAGAGGTTATCCCAGATCCAATGGAGGGAGAGCAAACCTGGCCCACTGAGGAGGAGCTGAGTGAGGCAAAGGGTTGGTATTGGGAAACTTGTTTGTAATTCATCTGACCTGGAATTGTGGATTTTCTCTAGCTGTTCCAAGTGAGGTCCCTATAGGATAGAGTGGGATGGGGATATAGTTGAAAGTCTCTCCTCACCCTCAAATGCTGTATGTTTTCAATAAACAAACATTACACACAGCTTTGTTCCATTTCACAAAATTATTTGTGTTAATGTTTCATCGTGAACAGATAAACAACTTTGCATTCATTGCAGGGATTATTTAGCTGTGTAAGTATTGCTAGTTGTGAGGCAGCTGAATTAAATTTGGAAGTAGTCAGTTCTATTTACAGTGTCTGCCAGAATTTCCCATGTTGGCAGCAGTATCTGGTGCCTTGCCTAGGTGAGAATAACCAGAGGGATAGGGAAAGGAAGTCTATAATTTACTTAATTTGTTTGGGCTTTTACAGATTTCTTGAAGGAAAGTTCAAAGGTGGTAAAGAAGGTCCCCAAAGGAACATCCAGTTACCAGGCTGAATGGATTTTGGATGGTGGCAGCCAAAGTGGTGGGGAAGGAGATGAATATGAATATGATGATATGGAACATGAGGATTTTATGGAGGAGGAATCTCAGGTAAGGAAATGAGGCCTTAGGCCAATTCTGCATCTAGCTCCAAATGTAAGGCAAAATGCAATTGTGATCTTGAGGGGTGTGTATGGTTAGTTTTTTGTTTGTTTGTTTGTTTTTGAGATGGAGTCTCACTCTGTCGCCGAGGCTGGAGTGCAGTGGCACAATCTGGGCTCAGGTGTCGGCCACCACGCCTGGCTAATTTTTTTGTATTTTTAGTAGAGACGGGGTTTCACCGTGTTAGCCAGGATGGTCTCGATCTCCTGCCCTCGTGATTCACCCATCTCGTCCTCCCACAGTGCTGGGATTATAGGCGTGAGCCACTGCGCCCAGCCGTGTATGGTTAGTTTCTTAGGAATGACTGTAGTTGCCAGGAATGAGGTTTTTGTTTTTATACTTTAGACTGTATTAGAATTTATGTTGGTTGGGAATAGGGATCTAGTACAATTATTTTACTCTTAGCTTATTGACCTTTGGGGTAGAGACAGGTGTAGATTTCTTCTGAAATAACTGTAATCCTTTATTCTACAGGATGAGAGTAGTGAAGAGGAAGAGGAGGAATATGAAACTATGACTGTCGGGGAGTCTGTGCATGATGATCTGTATGATGAGAAAGTGGATGAAGAAGCTGAGGCAAAAATGTTGGAGAAATATAAACAAGAAAGACTGGAAGAGATGTTTCCAGATGAAGTGGACACCCCCCGTGATGTGGCTGCTAGAATTCGGTTAGTCAACAAGTCTATCAACAAGTCTAAATTAAATCAATAGGTTTTTAAAAACTTGGCTCAGAGCTGTGTCACTGTGATGCAAAAGAAGAGAAACACATTTTTCCTGCTCCTGAAGAGCTAACGTTTAATATGGGAAGCCAAGACATACATACAGGAAATGGTCATATATAATCAAGTTCTAGACTGTGGTATAGACTAACGTTACAGGACTTTGATGAAGGAGAAATACTAAGGTTAATTAGCAAATACTTCTTCCCAAAGGAGCCAATACTCAATTGACTTATATAATGTTTGGAGATTTTAGGGGGTTTGGGTAGAATAGCGGAAGTAGAAGAGTGAAGATGTAGATGATTATATCTGTTCTGGGGGTGAGTGACTAAAGCCAGTGAATTAACTTTGGATATTAGGGAGGTAAGGCTATGTATTAGGTCTTTCTCGCATTGCTATAAAGAAGTACCAGAGACTGTGCAATTTATAAAGAAAAGAGGTTTAACTGGGTCATGGTCCTGCAGGCAGGAAGCATGGTGCTGGCATCTGCTCAGCTTCTGGGGCGGCCTTAAACAATCATGGCAGAAGGCAGAGGGGGAACAAGTCATGTCACACGGCCAGCGCAGGAACCAGAGAGCAAGGCAGGAGGTGCTACACACTTTTAAACAACCAGATCTCATGAGAACTCACTCACCAAGGGGGATGGTGCTAATCCATTCATGAGAAAATCTCCCCCCTAATGCAGTCACCTCCCACCAGGCTCCACCTCCAACACTGGGGATTGTATTTCAGTATGAGATTTGGGCAGGGACACACACCTGAACTATATCAGGCCATTACCAAGCATCTTTTTTGTCAGGTTAAAAAGCTCCCTGACAGGTAACAGGGAGCCACTGTAAATACTTTGTCTTTTGTCAATGGGAAGCTTGGGTTTCGTTCTGATAGAACTCGTTACAAGCTGTTTTGGAGTGTGGTTGAACTCGTTACAAGCTGTTTTGGTTGAAGCTGTTGGGTTGTTTGGAGAGAGAGTGATTGGAGTTCTTTTCAGGTAGCTCCTTAGCCATTTTAGCAGTGACAAGTCTATATAGCACCATATAAATCTGACTTAATTTCTTTAAAATCTTCAATATCCTAGATTTCAGAAATACAGAGGGCTTAAGAGCTTCCGGACATCTCCATGGGATCCTAAGGAAAACCTTCCTCAAGATTATGCCCGGATATTTCAGTTTCAGAACTTTACTAATACTAGGAAAAGCATTTTTAAAGAGATTGAAGAAAAAGAGGTTGAAGGAGCTGAGGTATCTATCCTCCTTGTTCATCCTGTATGTTGCTTTCATTTGTCAACATGCTCCCTACTTTATTCCTTCTCTTGGCATGAAAATATGCTGCATTGGGGGATTAGGGGAGCCCCTGAGTCATTGAGTAGAATGATACTGGGAACAAAGAGGTATCAACTATGTTAAATGAAAAAGCGTGATTTGGGTAGTGAAGCATCTTGAAGGGTGAGTGTAGGCTTTAAAAAGGTCATCTGAGAGACTCAGCATATTTGGAGGAAGCTTCCTCATTATTGGGACTTTGAAGGGTAACTCCATGATTGCTTTCTGCTTTCTTATGGCAGGTTGGCTGGTACGTCACACTTCATGTCTCTGAAGTCCCTGTCTCAGTGGTCGAGTGCTTCAGGCAAGGAGCACCCTTGATTGCATTTTCTTTACTACCTCACGAACAGAAGGTAAATTAGTGTCTTGTAGGAAAATGGGAGGTTATGAAACTTTGCAGCTGCTTCTGACAGTCTAAAATTCTGTTTATGTATGACTAACATTTTGCTCATTGGGATGCAGAAAGTCTCGCTTTATGATTAGGAATTGGAGAATAATGGAGAAGTCAGTGATGGTTTTATTCATGTTGTCTGAACCTGTCTGAAACATCGGTGATGCAATCTCTGGGTGATTCTGAGACTTCTCTAAGTGTGTTTTTCAGACCAGATTTTGAACAAGGGTTGGCAGCCATTAAAATAAAGGTTTGGCTGGGGGCGGTGGCTCACGCATGTAATCCCAGCACTTTTTGGGAGGCCAAGGTGGGCGGATCACCTGAGGTCGGGAGTTTGAGACTAGCCTGACCAACATGGAGAAACCCCATCCCTACTAAAAATACAAAATTAGCCAGGCGTGGTGGCATATGCCTGTGATCCCAGCTACTTGGGAGGCTGAGGCAGGAGAATTGCTTGAACCCGGTAGGCGGAGGTTGTGGTGAGCCAAGATTGCGCCATTGCTTTCCAGCCTGGGCAACAAAAGTGAAACTCCATGTCAAAAAAAAAAAAAAAAAGTTTGTGCCAAGGTGCAGATCTCTTTTCTTTTGGTGGCCAGTAGTTGTGTATGTTGTGGGGGTATGTGATAGTTCTTTGATGGGTTTTGGCAAGGGCTCAAGAAGAAGGGGCTTGAATGAGTGTGGTTTTGAGATTGTGGTGAGTGAATGCCTTGAAGACCACTGATTTTTGTGTGGCAGATGTTGAGCTCTTTTCTGTTAGATGCAGGAAGGTAGGTTAGCATTGAAGGGTGCCTGAATGCTCCGATCAGCCTATGTTTGGCTTAAATGCCAGTCATTGGTGGAGGGAAAGGATGAACCTGTGTTTCAGCATCTGCACTCCACCATTAATTAGCATTGTCAGTTCTTAGAATGAGTCTGAATCTGCTAGTTTGGTTTGCCTTCTTTCAGTTTAGGCAATTGTATTCCTAGGCTATGAAAATTTTTATTTTTCTTACTTGGTCCCCAGATGTCAGTATTGAATATGGTGGTGAGGCGTGACCCTGGCAACACTGAACCCGTGAAAGCCAAAGAAGAGCTCATATTCCACTGTGGATTCAGGCGCTTCCGAGCCTCACCTTTATTCTCTCAGCACACTGCAGGTTAGCAGTGGGGAACCTGGGTTCTTGTCCATCTTGTCTTTTGGGAAACTGACTTGTGGTGGAGGGGTACAGAATATGGTTTCAAAATCTTACATCTCTGGGTTAGAGGTATTTTCAGTACTCTGGCTTAAGAGCCAATGATGTTTTCACTCAAAATGTCTGAACCTGTCTGAAGCATCCCAGTGATGCAACCTCTGTGTGATACTGAGGCTTTTTTGCCATGAGTATTTGTTCCAGAGCAGGTTTTGAGTAGAAGTTGGCAGCTCTGTAAAAAGGGTATTAGGGTGGGTGAAGTGGTGCAGTGGCTTACACCCATAATCCCAACACTTGTGGCATTAGAATGGGGAATTGAAGACCAAAAAAGCTAAGGTTTAATCTCATATATATATTATATATATTATTATAGTACTTTTTTTTTTTTAAATTTTTTGAGACGGAGTCTTGCCTCTGTCGCCCAGGCTGGGGAAAGTGGCAGTGGGCGAGATCTTGGGCTCACTGCAAGGCTCCGCCTCCCGGTTACGCTTCTCCCTGCTCCAGCTCGCCGAGTACTGTGGACTACAGGCGCCCACCACCTTGCGCCCAGCTAATGTTTTATATTTATGTAGTAAAGAACCGGGGTTTCACCGTGTTAGCCAGGAATGGTCAGGATCTCCTGAACCTCCGTGATCCACCTGCCTCGGCCTCCCAAAGTGCTGGGATTACAGGCGTGAGCTGCCACCACGCCCGGCCTGGTTATTTTTTATTTTATTTTACTTTTTGGAGACGAGTCTTACTCCATTGCCCAGGCTGGAGTGCAATGGTATGATCTCGGCTCACTGCAATCTCCGCCTCCTGGGTTCAAGCCGTTCTCCTGCCTCAGCCTCCCAAGTAGAGTAGTTGAGACTACAGGCACGCACGACCATGCCCAGCTAATTTTTGTATTTTTAGTAGAGATGGGGTTTCACCATGTTGGCCAGGCTGGTCTTGAACTCCTGGCCTCAGGTGATCCGCCCACCTCGGTCTCCCAAAGTGCTGGGATTACAGACGTGAGCCAGCGTGCCTGGCCTTTTTTTTTTTTTGAGACGGAGTCTCTCTCACTCTGATGCCCAACTGGAGTGCAATGGTGCCATCCAGGCTCACTGCAACCTCTGCCTTCCAGGTCCAAGCAATTTTCCTGCCTCAGCTTCCCGAGTAGCTGAGATTACAGGCGCCTGCCACCACGCCTGGCTAATTTGTGTATTTTTAGTAGAGACAGGGTTTCACCATGCTGGCCAGGCTGGTCTTGACCTTAGGCGATCCTCCTGCCTTGGCCTCCCAAAGTGCTAGGATTACAGGCGTGAGCCACTGCACCTGGCCAATCATTTTTTTATTGTTTCAAAATGGTTTTGATTTTTTTTTAGGATGAAATAACTATTTTTTTTTTTTTTTTTTTTTTTTTTTGAGACGGAGTCTCGCTGTGTCGCCCAGGCTGGAGTGCAGTGGCGCGATCTCGGCTCACTGCAAGCTCCGCCTCCCGGGTTCACGCCATTCTCCCGCCTCAGCCTCCGAGTAGCTGGGACTACAGGCGCCCGCCACCACGCCCGGCTAGTTTTTTGTATTTTTAGTAGAGACGGGGTTTCACCATGTTAGCCAGGATGGTCTCGATCTCCTGACCTCGTGATCCACCCGCCTCGGCCTCCCAAAGTGCTGGGATTACAGGCTTGAGCCACCGCGCCTGGCCGAAATAACTATTTTCATATTTTAGACAGTTGAGAAAATAAGGAATAATGTAAAAGTACAATTATCTTATATTAGAGAAAATTCACTTTTATTTTATACATTTTCATCTGGATCTCTTTTTTTTTTAACAGAATTTGGATTGTAATTGTAAATATGGTGTTAAACATTGCATTTATCATTTAATTGATTTTGATCAATTTTCCATAAGATTAATTAGTTTATGAGACTTTTAATGCTTTATTGTCATTTGGATATATTCCAGTGTATGTGATGTACTGATATTTATTTGAGCTTCTACAGGTGAGGACTTAGGTTATTTCTAATGTTTTGCTCTAAATTAGATCTGTGTGCATAAAACTTTATTTACTTCTCTGCTTATTTCGTAAAGGCAGATCCTTAGAACTGGAACTAAATCAAAGTCTTAGTTCCAGAGACTGAGGCAGGAGGATCACTTGAGGTCAGGAGTGTGAGACCCCTGTCCCTACAGTTTTTTTTTTCTTCCCGATACAGAGTCCAGCTCTGTCACCCAGGCTGGAGTGCGGTAGCATGATCTCAGCTCACTACAGCCTCTATCTCCCGGGTTCAAATGATTCTGGCGCCTCAGTCTCCCAAGTAGCTCGGACCACAGGCGCCCACCACCACGCCCAGCTAATTTTTGTATTTTTAGTAGAGATGGGGTTTCACCACGTTGGCCAGTCTGGTCTCAAACTCTTGACCCTCAGGTGATCTGCACACATGCCTTGGCCTCCCAAAGTGCTGGGAAAATTTTTAGGGATGAGCTACCATGCCCGGCCTCTACAAAAAAAATTTCATTTTTGGGGAGATGGAGTTTTGCTCTTGTTGTCCAGGCTGGAGTGCAGTGGCAGGATCTCAGCTCACTGCAACCTCTGCCTACTAGGTTCAAGTGATTCTCCTGTCTCAGGCTCCCAAGCAGCTGGGATTATAGGCGTGTACCACCATGCCCAGCTAATTTTTGTATTATTAGTAGAGATAGGGTTTCACCATCTTGGCCAGGCTGGTCTGGAACTCCCAACCTCAGGTGATCCGCCTGCATCGGCCTCCCAAAGTGCTGGGATGACAGGCGTGAGCCACTGCACTCTGCCAAAATTTTTAAAAAACTTAGCCAGGTGTGGTGGCATGTGCTTTGCAGCCTCAGCTACTTGGGAGGCTGAGGCGAGAGGGATTGCCTGAGCCAGTGAGCCCAGGAGTTTGAGGCCCCAGTGAGCTGTGTTCACACCACTGCCCTTTAAATATTTTAATGAAAGCTACATTGAAGGTAGAACATCACATACAGTCTAGGCTCCAGGATTCTGACTCCAGATAAAAAAGTTACTGATCGGGCGCCTGCAATTCCAGCTATTCGGGAGCCTGAGGTGGGAGAATTGCTTGAACCTGGGAGGTGGAGGTTGCAGTGAGCAGAGATGGTGCCATTGCACTCCAGCGTGGGCAACTAGAGCAAGACACCATCTCAAAATAATTAAAAAGTTACTGATACAGCCTGGCACTGTGGTTCATGCCTGTAATCCCAGCACTTTGGGAGATTGAGGTGGGCGGATCACAAGGTCAGGAGTTCGAGACCAGCCTGGACAACACGGTGAAACCCTGTCTCTACTAAAAATACAAAAATCAGCCGGGAGTGGTGGCGGGCGCCTGTAATCCCAGCTACTCAGGAGGCTGAGGCAGGAGGATTGCTTGTTCCTGGGAGGCGGAGGCTGCATTCAGCTGAGATCACGCCATGGCACTCCAGCCTGGGTGACAAGAATGATACTCAAACTCAAAAAAAAAAAAAAAGTTACTGATAGGACTAGACTATCTTTTAGGTGTATTGAGGCAGAGAAAATTTTTGAGAACTAGTGGATTAGAGAAGTAGAAGCTGCCGTAGGTTTAAGAGTTGCACTAATACAGCTTTTCACAGGCCTCTATTGCCTCTGGTTTCTCAAAATGGTTTTGGTTTTCATATTTTAACCCTTATGGCAGCGGACAAACATAAATTGCAGAGATTCCTGACTGCTGACATGGCCCTGGTGGTGACAGTCTATGCACCAATCACTTTTCCTCCTGCATCTGTGCTGCTTTTCAAGCAGAAAAGCAATGGTAAGTTGAGCCACAGAGATGAACAGACCCTGCAGGCCCTTAATAGGATGAACACTGTTTTCTCTTCTGTATTTAGATTTGGGAGCCAAATGGTATGGAGAAGGTAATGATGGTTTTCAAAATACAGTAAGTCTTCACTTAACATTGTTAATAGAACAATGAAAACTGCAACTTTTAAGTGAAACAGTGTATAGCCAGTCTTCAAATAACTGCCTTTTGTTCAACATCCTTTCCTTGTAACAACTGATGAGAAAAAATATGGTTTTGTTATACATCATTTCTCTTCAAGTACAAGTTTTCAAGAACCTATTGACAAGGTTAAGTGTGGACTTAGCAGTTTACCAATCTCAGCCTCAGATTGGGCTAGGGCAGGGATGACAAACCAGGCTCTTACATGGGTCTTTAGATGGACTGGGGCGATAAATGAAGACTTTGGCCTGTAAATTCCTAAAGAGCTTCTTTGCTTTTGTGCTTTAGGAATGCACAGCCTCATTGCTACAGGCCATCTTATGTCAGTAGATCCAGACAGAATGGTCATCAAGAGAGTCGTTTTGAGCGGTCATCCTTGCAAAATTTTTACTAAGATGGCAGTAGTACGTTACATGTTCTTCAACAGAGGTAGGTATGAAGGAGGAGGATGGGATCTGATTGCCTTTGTGGTATGAAGGTTGGGTTTACATTTTGTGGGTAAATATTTTATCTTGATGTTTTCTGTGTTTGATTCTAAGAGGATGTGCTGTGGTTTAAACCAGTGGAACTGAGAACAAAGTGGGGCCGGAGAGGACATATCAAGGAGCCTTTAGGTAAGGAAACATGGGATTTGGGACCATGTGTACGTTTCTGCAGTGTTGCTAAATGACTATTGGGTTGGAAGTCATTGCTTTAAAATTTTCTACTTTTAATTTGACTGACTTGTTCTGTTTTCTTTCTAGGTACCCATGGCCACATGAAATGCAGCTTTGATGGGAAGCTAAAATCTCAAGACACAGTACTGATGAACCTCTATAAACGAGTTTTCCCCAAATGGACTTACGATCCATATGTACCAGAACCAGTACCCTGGGTGCAAAGTGAGAGTTCTTCAATAGTGCCTCAGGAGGGCATGGAGTAATGGATTCAAAGAGATTCCTTCTTACTGGTGCCAGCCAGTAGTCAGGGATGGGAGGCACAAGTTGTGATTGGGCAATTTATTTTCTATGTCAGCCTGTCAGTCTGCTGCCCCATTTTGCAAGACTTTTTTTTAACCTTGACAAAATGTCTCAGTTAAGTATGAAAGTTTTTCTACTACTTAGTCCAAAAAAACTATTAAATCTTAATGAAATAACCACTCCATTAAGAATCTGATAACTAAGAGTTGACTGACTAGGAAACAAAATGTGTTCAGTATCTAAAGACACTGAATCCCACCATTTCCTTTTCTGTAAATTAAACAGAAACAGACTGATAAGCTGGCCTTTCAGCCTGCTTCACCCAAGTTATGGAGGAGGTTAAGTCTACATTTCCACCACTAAGCACAATACAAATGTTCTTTACTTCTGGGGAAACAGTTTGAAAATGTTGAGACAGCACAGCAGCCACTCCAACACCAGCTGTAGGTTCAATGAGTAGTTTCATCCTCTCCCACACCAGCTGGGTTGCACGCTGTTGATATGGAAGGGAGTAGGAATTAGTGAAAGGGGAGTCTAGTTGGTTTACTTATAAAGGTCAGATGAGAATATATGTCCAGTTTGAATTTTCTTATCACTGTGTATACATGCTTCCCAAAGCTTTTCTTTAATTCTAACTCTGCTTCTGTCAAGAGGGTTGTCATTAATACATCTAGGGTACCCTCCCATGTCATGAAGTTACCTAGTCAAGTTCCCGTGGGTCACTTGCTACTCCTAACAGAAGGTTCTTCTGCCTAAGAAGTTATACCATGCTTTGTTATTTCTTTTCCTGTTGGAGCCTTACCTTAATTTCATCCTCTGTAACAGTGAAGATATCATCCACAAGGTCTCTGATAATAGGCCAGGTGTTCAAGCCAATGCTGGATTTGACACCATCTGCTATGGTGTCTGGAGGATAAAGATTGGGCATCAGTTCCCCCTTCAGCTTGGACTGGTAGCAATCATCTGCATTCAAGGGTTCAGCAGCATATACTTTCACACTAGGTTTCAGAGCCTGGGAAGAGGAATATTAAGACATCTTACAACAAACCACAACATTGCCTGTATGTCTAAAAGAAAATAGGGGCAGGGTGTGGTGGCTTATGCCTGTAATCCCAACACTTTGGGAGCCCAAGGCAGGTAGATCAGCTGAGGTCAGGAGTTCGAGACCAGCCAGGCCAACATGGTGAAATGCAGTCTCAACTAAAAATACAAAAATTAGCCAGGCATGGTGGTGTGCACCTGTAATTACAGCTACTTGAGAGGCTGAGGTAGGAGAATCGCTTGAACTCGGGAGGCATAGGTTGCAGTGAGCTGAGATCACACCACTACACTCCAGCCTGGGCAACAGAGCTATACTATCTCAAAAAAAAAAAAAAAAGAAAAGAAAATAGGAACAATAAGTAATACATTTCTGCCCAAGTAAGAGCCTTTCATTTTATGGATGTAATGAAAATATTTTCAGGCCGGGCGCGGTGGCTCAAGCCTGTAATCCCAGCACTTTGGGAGGCCGAGACGGGCGGATCACGGGGTCAGAAGATCGAGACCACCCTGGCTAACACGGTGAAACCCCGTCTCTACTAAAAAATACAAAAAACTAGCCGGGCGAGGTGGCGGGCGCCTGTAGTCCCAGCTACTCGGGAGGCTGAGGCGGGAGAATGGCGTAAACCCGGGAGGCGGAGCTTGCAGTGAGCTGAGATCCGGCCACTGCACTCCAGCCTGGGGGACAGAGCGAGACTCCGTCTCAAAAAAAAAAAAAAAAAAAAAGAAAATATTTTCAAGCACTTTATAAATAAATTATATGTCTGATACTAGCCTTCCATTGCCTGGATCGCATCTGATTCTCCTGGTAATTTGAGAAAAGGGTAGCCTCTTGGTATGGATAGTAGCTTGATGACATGGAATTCAGGGAAAAGACTGATGGTGTCACTTATGGTAACTGCTTTTGTGCTGTAAAATTGTCATGGATTAAGAAGAGAGTTGGCCAGGTGCAGTGGCTCACACCTGTAATCCTAGCACTTTGGGAGGCCAGAATAAGGATTGCTTGAGCCCAGGAGTTCAAGACCAACCTGGCCAACATAGCAAGACCCCATCTCTTAAAAAAAATAAAAATACTAAAAATAATAAATAGCCCAGGTGCAGTGGCTCACGCCTGTAATCCCAGCACTTTCGGAGGCCAAGGCAGGCAGATCATGAGGTCAGGAGTTCAAGAACGGCCTTACCAACATGGTGAAACCCCGTCTCTACTGCAAAAAAAAACGCAAAAAAATTAGCGCGGTGTGGTGGCGTGTGCCTGTAATCCTAGCTACTCAGGAGGCTGAGAGGAGAATTGCTTGAGCCCGGGAGGTGGAGGTGGAAGTGAGCCAGGATCGTGTCACTGCACTCCAGCCTGGGTGACAGAGCAAAAGTCTGTCTTGAAAAAAAAAAATAATAGTAAATAGAGTAGTGAGGCAGAGACGGGCCTTCATCTCAAGTCCCAAAGGAATAAGGGGATGGAATGGTAATGTGTGCAGAATTTTGAGCACGTGCACACAAATCATTTATGATGTAAAATAAATCCTCTGCTTGAAGTAGGGAATCTTCCAGAAGTTGCTCACCTTAATTGTAATTGCTATTCCAGCAACCATTCCTCCTCCACCTACAGGTACCACCAGTGCATCCACCAAAGGAACCTTTAGTGAAAAGAATATAAACTGTAAATGGGCCTATTAGTAAGCAATTTTATATTTTATGTGTACATATAAAATAATTGAATATAGCCCAACAGCTTTACCAGTAGCTAACCAGGAAGAACTCGGCTATTTTACCTGGTTCAGCACTTCCAGGGCAATTGTCCCTTGTCCAGCTATCACTGCAGGCTCCTGGTTGGGATGTACCATGATGCCTTCTGTTTCTTCTGTAACTCTTTTTGCAACATTTTCTCTGGACTGAAAGTACATTAATTTAGTTTAATTGATTTGTATTTAATAGAGTCCCCAACAAGTTCCGTTTGGTCATTCAACATTTTATTGACCATCTACTTTTTTCAGACTTTGTTCAGGTACTAGAGATATATATGTTAATAAACAAAATATCTCTTCCCTCAAGGGGGTTATATTATATGGTAGAGATGGGGGAAGTAAATATATGGTATGTCTAAGTGCAATGGAGTAAAATGAAGGAATTTATTTCATATAGGGTAGCCAAGAAGAGCCTCTAGTAAAGTGACATTTTAAAAGATCTGAACAAGTGCTGTGGATGTCTAGAATATTCCAGGGAGGGGGTAACAGTGCAAAGACTACAAAGTAGGAGTGCTTGGCCTTTCTGAGGAACAGCTGTAAAGGTTAGTATGGCTGGCACAGAGAGAGCAAGAGAAGTAATAGAATATGAGGTCAAGGCTGGGTGCAGTGGCTCATGCCTATAATCCCAGCACTCTGGGAGGCCAAGGTGGGCGAATCACTTCAGGTCAGGAGTTCAAGACCAGCCTTGCCAACACGGCGAAACCCTGTCTCTACTAAAAATACAAAAATTAGCCAGGTGTGGTGGCGCGTGCCTGTAATCCCAGCTACTCTGGTGGCTGAGGCATGAGAATCTCTTGAACCCAGGAAACAGGCTGCTGTGAGCTGAGATCGAACTACTGCACTGCAGCCTGGGTTGGACAGAGCGAGACCCTGTCTCAATAAAAGAAGATGAGGGGCTGGCCGCGGTGGCTTACACCTGTAATCCCAGCACTTTGGGAGGCCAAGGCAGGCGGAACATGAGGTCAGGAGTTCGAGGCCAGCCTAGCCAATATGGTGAAACCCTGTCTCTACTAAAGAATCAAAAATTAGCTGGGTGTGGTGACACACGCCTGTAGTCCCAGCTACTCGGGAGGCTGAGGCAGAAGAATTGCTTGAACCCGGGAGGTGGAGGTTGCAGTGAGCAGAGATCGTGCCATTGCACTCCAGCCTGGGTGACAGAGGGAGATTCTGTCTCAAAAGAAAAAAAAAAAGATGAGGTCAAAAACATAGGAATGTTTGAGTTCATCCAGGGCTTAGATGATTGCAAGAACTCTGGTTTCCACTGTGTATGAGATGGGAAACCAACAGGAAATTTTGACTTGAAAAGAGACGAGTTCTGACTTTGTTAAATGGAGAGCTCTGGTTGCTCAAAAAACCCTATAGTGGGGCAAGGGTGGATGCAGTGAGACCAGTTTGGCTACTGAATTGAATATAGGTGAGAATTGATGTTGGTTTGAATCAGGGTGGTTAACGGTAGACACAGAAGCAGTAGGGTTATGGAAGTATGTTGAAAGCAGACTGAGATTTGGATGTGGGGATATGAGAGGGTTATCAAAGATGATTCCTGGCTGTGTGCAGTGGGTCATGCCTGTGAGCCTAGCATTTTGGGAGGGCAAGGTGGGAGGATTGCTTGAGCCCAGGGGTTTGAGACCAGCCTCGGCAACCGTGAGACCCTGTCTACAAAAAATAAAGGAATTAGGTGTGGTGGCATGCACCTGTAGTCCTAGCTACTCAACAGGCTGAGGCAGGAGGATCCCACAACATAGGAAGACTCCATCTCTAACAAAAAAAAATTTTTTTTCAGAAACACAAAGATGACTCCAACTTTTTTTGTTTGAGTAACTAGAAGAATAAAAATTGCCTTTTACTAAGATGAGAAACCCTGGAAGGGAAGAAATATAGGGAAGTAAGATCAGGAGTTTGGTTTTAGATGTAGTTTGAGATGCCTTTTAAGACATCAAGTGGGAAAGTTAGGTAGCTGTTGGATATAAAAGACGGCTGTTAAGGGGATAGAAGTTGGAGTTGTTAGACCATAGGTAATAATTTAAGCAATGAGACTAATGAGATCTTGTGAGTGTAGATAGAGAAAAGGTTGAGCATGTAACAGAAATAAAGAGGAAACCACAAAGGAGGCTGAGAAGGGGCAGCCGGTAAGGTAGAAAGAGCCATTGGTCAAATGAAAGCTGTTAAGGTGGTACCAAACACTGCTCTCCTTACCTCATCACTAGGTTCACAGTATACAATTGATGCTCCGTAGGCTTGTATTGCAAGTTTTTTACAGTCTGGAGCTGTCTGGGGCACCACAATATAAGCAGGAATTCCTGGGAGAGGAAAACATGTTTGGTTACTACAAGTCAGGAGAATTTAGAACAGAAACTTATGTGGTCAGGTGTGGTGGCTCACGCCTGTAATCCCAGCAC